AATATTGAACAATACATGCATATCAATTAAATTATTTGGTGCTATTCGTTTAATGATTACATCTAATTGATTTGAATTGTATAAAATAATTATTTCCTTATTACCAATCTAAATTAAAAAGTTTAAATGTCTTATTCTTAATACATGATAGTTAATATTACAAGATGTTTTTTTTTAAATTGAGGATTACATAGCCAGAGTTTTTGAAATATCGGGTGAATAAAAAAGTGTGTTCGTGAATGTAGGGGGTTGGTAAAGATTAGTGTCTCTTTGACTATCCCATTTCCATGTCTAAGGCTGCGGCAGGCCGAAGCGTAAGAGTCTATGCGTAAGCACCTCATTTATTGCAAGGTTTCGTCCTATTGTAATGCCTCTTATGGTTGGGTTTGGATTATCCTCTACCTTGGTCGTATAAAAGCGTTGCTCTTGAATCCGAGCCTCCTCATGTAGATCATCTATGCTGGTATATCTACATAGGTTAAGTGGCAGATATTTGTTTTGATAAACTTGCAATAATTTGAAATTTCTACTTGCGGCAAGTTGTTGTACATTCAGAATTACTTCAGTGTGAACAAAAGCAACTGATGGTTTTTGGCTTAATTTAAATTTAAGCAAATGTATGTTTGACCTTTGCACTCACTCCAGCACATTTTGTGAAATAATTATTATAGATTAGAAATTATTATTATTAATTATTATTATTAAATACTGTATAGTTAAATAATTTTACTTTAGAATATTTACATATTTTGCTACTTACTTTAAAACAGTTTTAGAACTATCATTCTCAGAATAATAAAGAATTTCCAATGTAAGGCTATAAGTTACTCTCCCATAATATGTAATTGAAGTTTTGCTTCATAATTAATTCCTTTATATTTGATTATTTATCAAAAATATCATATTTTTAGCTCAAGTCAATAAATCAATTATGTTCCTATTTTAGTCACATAAAAGTTAAACGGGTTCTTTTGACTACACCGATCATTTTTTAACAGGTGTTACTTTTACATTTTTTTATAAAATATTGCAATATAATAGATATAAAAATATTATCGACGTTTAGATCGTAGATAATAGCAAATTTAGTGGAATACTCGCCTTGTTAACATTGTACTTGTATGCGGTGACTTTAGGGGAAACATTTTATGTTTATTACTCATTACTTTGAGGAAACTGTAAATGTCGCTAGTGTGTTTACTAATTAGACTTGATCTATCGATGATAGAGAATAGTATCTGCGGTGCACGTAATTGTAAATGAAAATATCTTGTTTATATTGGTTAATCTCCTGAATGCACCATGGAAAATACCATGAATAGGCGCTGAAGTGTTTTAATTAGAATGGCTTAATTTTCAGCACGTAATTATTTTGCGTTAATTAGGTATTATAATGAAATTGGGGAAAATAATTAGTCGAGTGGATGGCGGGAGGCGGGGTGTGCGCGTGATCGTCGGGGTGTCGGTGGAGGCAGCAGCGGCGTCGGCGACGATAATTTGCGTGTGCCGGTGGTGCGGAATAAATCACAATTTTAATGTCAGCGAGGTATTAAGAATTTATGCAGGGGGTGTGTATCTTGGCGGCGGTTGCGGAGAGCGTCGAAGCCGACGTTCCAGTCGGGGTTGGCGCTGGTGGCGATGTCGGAGGCGGCGGTGGAGGAGGCCATGGGGGCCGTCACTTTTTCATTTTCAAGTTGGACCATAAAATACAATATAAAATATTAAATATGATCATAAAGTATCACACAATCCGGTGCCTGAAATCACTGTAATTTCCCATTTAGTCGGCTCTAGACATTTCCATGGACGGCTAACTCGCTTAATGAAAAGGTGCAGTCACGTATCTATTCTATATCCATGCTGGGTTTTAGTGCGAGGACAATTCTGTGACACTCACTCACCCTCTAACACTCACTTCCCCACTGTCCCCCTACCAACGCAACGGACATTTATTAAGCTTTCAAATTACATGAAATAGGTTATGTAGGAAAAATTTAATTAATTTAAGAATTTAAATGGAAATGCGTGCTACCCACTAGCAAGACACATAAAATATATTATACGATAAGCTTTTAGGAATCGCAATAATATTATATGTAACGGACTTCTTAAAATATTATTGAACAAGTAACTTTAAAAATAATATTAACTAAATCGAATTGAATTAAGTGTAAAAGTGTAAGTTGTAAAAAAATATATAATATAATATGAAGACTTTGCTGTAAATTTAATATAAATACACGGGATACATAAGAAATGTAGTTAATCTATATGTTGCAATTACTTTTGCTATAGATGAGTGATATTTGGCTAAACTAATAAAAAACAATATGAGGTTTACGGCAAACATTGTTTTGTGTTGTATACCAGTAATTGATAATTATGTCTGTCTAGTTCGGATTTAATTCTTTAAATATTGAAGACTAGCTTAAGATGAATGATCTAGACCAGAAGTCGGCAACACGCGGTTCTTTTCTTTAAGAAGAGTAATTAAGAGGTTTTTTTTCGTTTCAAAACACTTCACGTCGATCAAGCGAATCACAATATACTGCTAATTTTATTATCTATTAACAAAACAACTATCAACCGACGACTTTTTGCCTTGAAAAAAATAATATCTAATAGAAAAAATTCATAAAAATTAGAATCAAACAAATTAAATATTCCACGAACTTATCATATGTGTCGACTAATAATCATTCCTTATATTAATAATAATAAACAAATCTTATTGTATACCTATAAATTAAAGGGACATTAACGGATGTCTTTCCTACTTGGTGATTTTATTAGTTTCAATAATTATTTTAGTTTATTAAAAAAAAATATAAAAAAAAATAATATTAGAAATACTTTTATAGCAGTTGCTGTCGCTCAAATAAAAATGAAAATTACCAATTAATTTCAGTATTCCGAGAGTATTCAAATTATTTTTGTTTAAAGATTACATATAGTAGTTACAATTAATCAGATAAGTTATATATATTTAATGTATATACATATAGTTTACTCCTGCCTAATCATTGATTTCTATATCTTTACAGGTTACATGACATTTCCTTTGCGCTTCCGCATAGATACGTAAATTTACAATTCAATGGACATGAACGCTACTAGATGGAATAGACGAGACACAATAATATATCTGCAGCAGAATATTATACAAAATACATATTTTTTAAATTAATAATAGTAAATTATGAAAAAAAAAATAATCATTTGTTTTATTTTTATGAATTCTGAAGTGATATTTTTGTTAGATTATTAAACCTAAATGAGGGTGAAACGCAGAAATGTCTCGGTTCATTGCGAAACTTCCTCTCCTTATCTTCAAATAGCCAAATGAGCAAATTAAGTTTCAACTAGACAAAACTTGAGCTCCCCGACTTCCCACAAATATCGCATTCACTGGTTCTGAATGAAAGAAATAGTTTCATTTCATCAACTTTGTAATTTTCTTCACTTACTAAAACAATAATGGGATCATTATTATTATTAATGAAAATAGTTACTGTTATTTTAACACAATAATATTTGAATTATTTTTTTAATTTTGGACAAAGTCACTTTGCCGTAATTTTATAATTTATTGCATTTTTTTTAATTGGAATAAATATAGATCTATTATCTTCTTAGTTAGAATAAAAATTTCAGACGGAAAATATTTTTCTGTATATGAAAAAACTTATCCAAAATATCCAACAACCTAATTTTATAGTAAATAACAATCATATTTTTATGAGAAACTTACAAGTGTAATTAAAAATATTAGTATAATGGGATGATGTCGAGCGTCAAAATCAGTCCATTTTTTCAATTGGCTACAAAATCAGTGTAAATAATATTTTGACTGATGCAAGGACAACATGACGATAATTATGTATCTATAGAATAATATTCAATTGGAAATATATCATACCTTATTTTTTTAACCTTTAACGACTCGCGCCGTTATAAAAAATACACCAATTTTCTAAGAAATGATACCATATCTATATTTTCTGTCCCTCATCTATGAAACTTAACGTAAGCTATGCTCAAAGTTTTTACTAAATGCCGGTGCAATATTGTATTGACTTCGTCACAAAGAAGTTGTTTTTGTGCATGTTCGTTCTTGCTCTGCAGTGTTGGTGTAATAGCAGGCGATGCTGATACCTCTACTCACGCTTATATGGAGTGTATTTACGACAATTCTGATTCAGAAATTATTATATTAATTTTTATATTTATGTATTAGAAATAGTTATGAATCTAATAAAAAAGCATTAGTTGACTTGATAATTTTGTAGAAGTTGTATGATAATCTTCATTTTATAAAATAGTAAATGAAAAATAAAAGATATAGTGTGACATTCAATTGCAAGCAACTTGATCTGTGAATGTTTTGCAAGAAAAGCAAAAAAAAAAATTAACATCAAAAACGTGCGAGATCTTGCAAAACGAGTATTAATTATAAGATAACTTTAACTTCTGAGAGTTTTGGAAAAATCATTGTCACATTGTAAACTGTCTCAAGATCATCAGTAAATTGGCTTTGATGTACGAGTGTTTTGAAAACGTACTGTAATCAGAATTGAGGCAGAGCAGTATTAATTTTTCTTCCAGTTTTCTTCCAGCCTTTTTGGGAAATTAATTGGAATTATGAATAGTACTTGAATTTATAATAAAGAAATATATTAGATTTAAAGAAAAATAAAATATCGGCAAATAAGATTCAATTTATTTATGTAAGCATGGAAGAAGAAGTAATGGTGGGCATTATAAAAATATAAATTTGTGAGCGAAGGAAGGTTAGTAATGTTGTTTTGATTCCATTAAAATGTCCAATGTATAATGCAGGTTTTAGAAGAAGTGAGTGGATAAAGATTTATGCATTTCCCGGCAGAAGGCTTTCGCGTGGAACAGTGGAATTCTCGAGGTTCGAGTGTCCAGGATGGGCGAGCATGCGGATGGGACATGTCGCGAAAGGGACGACCCGAGCCGTTCGTGCAGGGCGTCGCAACGCGTTCTCTCAGTTCCGCGTCGACACGGCTACGGAACAGTCAGTCAACAGGAAAGGACGACGCGCGTCGCGACGCTCTCTGCGCCTTTCCGCCACGTTTCGCGCCCAAAAACTCCATCACCCTTTCTCACTCTGTCTCCATGTATCCTTATTTCTCTCTAACTCTCCTTCTCGCACTGTCTTTATAAATCTCTCTTCAACGCGCACAACACACATACAGCCGTATAATTTCCTCACACCCAAACACGCGCGTTCTAAAATCCCCCAACAAACGTGAATTAAATTATCGTTTTGCGCACTCATTCATTATGAATCAGGATTAATTAACGGTAATAAATATGCACTAATTTTCTTGTATTATTTCATGCATTATTCAACAAATCTGAGCTCTCATCCTTTAGACTTTTTCCATTCATCCTTTGATTTATTATTTGCATTTTAATTATTTATACTTTCACTATTAGATTTATTTAAAATAAATAGTCAGTAGATAGAAATCAAAAAGGAATTAAATTATTCATGAAAAATATGAATAAATAAAATAATAATTATTGTAATAAACTCAGCTATTACACTATTATATGTTAGCAATTTTATATACGAAATTTTTATTGGTGAGTCCAAAGGCGAAAAGATCAACTGCCAATAATTTTATCTTTAAGCTTAATATTTTTTATTATTTATTTACTGTTGTAATATAATTGTTACAATAAATTATATAAATTATTATAATTATTTCGAATGTTGATAACCAAATAAATATAATTAAAATATTTCGATTTGCGTTTTTGTTATAGTTTAGTAAAGAATACAATACATTTGCTTATATGTAAAAATATTTATTATGTAAAATAATTATGTGGACTATACACTGCAATATTTTCAATCATGATGAAATATAATACATTATTAATATCAATTTTGGGATTGAAAAAGCTTGGTTTATTGTTTATTATTTTATGTAATATAATTTATTTACTGCATGTAATCAATTCCATCTAAAATAATTATATTTGTTTTTCGTATCCAATAAAATTACTAATTTCCATAATTATTAAACTTTTCTTTTTATTTAATAATACTAAAAAAAATAAATATATAGTGTAATTGAAGCATTAGTATTGTTATATTATCATTCTAAATATCTAGAACTACATCGATGAGTTTGGATTCACTAGTCCGATTTGAAAATCTTAAAATGCAATTTAAAAGTCCTCGATTAGTCCGGTTTATAATAGTCCTGGATATTTATTGAATCTATTACCCGAGGTATTGCTATTAATATGCCTGTCAACTAATTTTGTTCAAATAACAGAATTAATAAATAAGTATATAACTATTTGTTGAAATTTTATTTTTGAATAACATGAAAAGAAGATATTTTGATTTAGAACGGAATTGTCAATTCATAAATAAATTCACTTTTTCAAAAACATTTTTGAGACTGTTTATTTTTTTTAAACCATGGACATTTTCTCACTTACTTACATAATATTAAGTGGATAAAAACTATTTGATATAGTTTATAAGTTTAGATATTAAGCTACGACCGAAAAAGTTGATTTAATTGAAATCATCCGCCAATAAATGTTTAAAAAAATATATTTTTCATAAAACTAGATATTTTTAGTTTATTTCACTGTTAGATCAATATAATTTTCACCGAATAAGTGTTATACTTATATAACTTCCTCAATACGTAAAATATGAATATCGGTTATTGAAAAATTCAATTTTGGAATATAGAAGTACCTCGGATAGTGCGGCTTCAATCAGTGTGGATTCACTGTAGTACTCTTTTGCGCAAAAAAGTCTATTTTTCTACAAAACCGATTTAAATGATTTTTACAACGTATTTTCTATTTAGTTGATATATACAACATTGAAAAGTATATCAAAATAAAATCTCACAAATCATAAAACATTCCAGTATATTACATAAAACTATAACAAAATAAAATTTAGAAAATTATAGAAAAAACGAATAACTAAAATATTATTTTATTTCTACAGATTTATTGCTCTAATTTGCAACAGAGCCGGTATAGATCGTCTTAAGAGCAATAAATAATTAATCTAAAAATTGTTTTGTTGTGGCGAGGAAACCTTACATAGAGAACACGGTTGGAGTCGTGGTACTGTGGGATTCTTACCGCACTAAAATCTCTCCTCTTCTTCGTCAGCATATAGGACCTGTATCTGTATCTACACCTCTGCTATGCTGATTGTCTTTGCCTGTCTGGATCTTCCCTTCGTTCACTTACTTTCGTCAGTGCTGGCCTTCACTGCCACTGTCTTCGTAGGCCCTCTGCAGCCTCTGTTCGTCTTCTTCTTTAGTCTGTAGCACATCTGTTACGTATGTTACTATTATCACACAGCTCTTTAACATTTCGCTTACTTACTTAAAATTTTCCTAGCAAGTCTCTAGCAAGACCCCCAATTCTGCCTCTGCTTGGTGTTTCATCCTAACCCATCTGTAGCATTTAAAAAAACGTGCGATCCGGTCTGTCGTCCTTCTCACAGTACTAACTCCTTTCATTCATAACCAGATAGCGCCTGACTCAGGTGAAAAGTTGTTTGCACCTTGCTTTCTGCTTATCCAGGGCTCTATATTTGTGGGATTAGACGTCTTGTCCAGGCTCTTTTCTCCGACCTGTGCCATTTTTCTTGCCACTTCGAAATTCTGTATGTACCCTATAATACTAAAAATATTCTTATTTAGTGCCTTGGGGCAGAACGTAGTTACTTTTTCAGGTTCTTGAAGATATTTATACCTCATTTTTCCATTGAATTTTTTAAAGCTATGGCTTGATTTTTTTTCTTCGCCACTTTTCTCATCATTGCAATCATCTTCTATTGTCATCTTAATTTGGAAACAATATTGTTACTATTTGTCCAGATAACTTAATGATCTTAGAAGAAATACACAGACGTATTTTGCATTTCTATCAAATTTCTATTTGTTTGTTTGTTTATGTTTTTAATAAAATCCAGGTTTTCGAATTATATAAATTTCTGGAACCAATTAGTCGCAATATGCAAAGTATATATTCAAATTTATGAATTAAATATATTTATAATAATTATAATTTATTGACCAAACTTTAATTATATACAACAAAAAGTACATCCTATAAATCATATAATAATAATAACATTAATGACAACCAAATAATAATAATTCTAATATGAATTAACGAAAATACTCAACAGGCTGGTCAACGGGCTATCAACCGAGGTCTTTCCGCCCGGAAAATATTTATAATAAATCGTATTTAATAAATAAGTCACATGAATGAGATTGCGAAAGTTTCTGAATTGTTTTTATACATTTTGTAAATATGTACCTCAGTTTAAAGAAAACAATTGCTTTGCCTTGGTGTTTTTCGAATGAAATTTAATATACATTCTGCATACAAAATGTTTTAACCTTAATTGCGATTCCATTTTATTTGCAAAACTAATATGAAATAAAAGTGAGTTCCAGCGGTCGGAGCGGCAGTAAATACGTGACGTAACAAAGTTTCCTTTAAAGTAAGCATCGAGTCAATTATATTAAATTAATTAAGCCGTTCCGAGTCGAATTCATTTGCCAGTTTTCTAATTATACCCAAGACGTGGTCCTCGCGAATAACATCCAAGTCGAATGAAAAGTAATTTGAAACGTTTTTTATGTAGCATATAAACATGTTTATTGCGCTGTTAAAACCTAACAAAGCAGGGAAATGGCATCGGAGAGAATAAAGGAGACACAAAGATAAAAGAGTGCGAGAGAGATAGAGAAAGAGAAAAAAAATGAGAGATGGAATTAAAACCATAACTACTGTGAATAATAAACTATCATCGCTGTTTTCGTATTTCCATGATTGTTTCTTATATTTTTACTAATTGCATTTTGTTCAACGCTGTATATATTTCATTTCAATTTCAGGATCTTTAACGATTTTTGAGAAGATAGGTTTTATTACTTAATGTAGCGGTATAAAATAAATTCAAATATAAAACCTCTGTATTTTATACTTTTTAATGTTGTTTATTTTTTTATTGCTCGTAAAATTTATGACTTATTATTGCTGATATATGCAATATAAACAAGATATACTTTTTTTTATCAAATACTAGTTTATTGAATTGCATCATTTTTGATTATTTTTGTCATAGTTTTGAAAGGTAAACCATTAATATGATCGAAGCACATTCAATACTCGTCGAATTAAGAATGTTTTAATACCTAAACTACCTAAAATATAAACAATCAAAGTTTTCGTCGTTTAAACTAGACCGAATCTCGTATATATTTGTGAATTATTTACAGATATACAAGATGTTCAAATAAATATAGTTGATATATCTTAATTATAATTAGTATATTATTTATTTTTAAAATTTTAATATTAAAAATTATATTGTAAAAAAAAATATAAAGCTATCTTAGAAATCATTAACATCTAAAATACAGGATAAATTGAAATACAAGCAAGTATACAAATCAATACACAAAAATAAACGAGTTTTATACATTTACTTTTAATTCACAATTGTTATTTATAACATTGAATGAATTACAAAAAAAAACGGGGATTTGATATTGAATTGTTTTTATTAATTATAATCATTGGTTTTAATGTAAAGCGATTCATAAAATCCTCTGTGATGGAGTAATGGCCCGTTAAATGTATCTATCAATGTCGTTCTACTGAATTATATTTTATTACCCTCCATTTAGTTTAAATAAATACCATAAAATATATATGCATGTACATTTTCAAATTGAAAATAATTTGATTTACACTTTAACGTTTTTTATCATAGTTCTGTCAATTGATACAAATAAACAGCAAAAAAAATAATTTTGTACACTATTTTCTTAGAATTAATTTTTATTTTTTACAATTAAAATTTTAACTTCAAGATATTTATGTACATTTCTATACTGAACATATAAATATATCATTGATAATACATATTTTAAGAAAATTTATTTATTTTAAGAATGTAAAAATTATTACTGTTTTAGACTAAGGACGAAGTTGCGCGGGTAAAGAAAGAAATCGTTCAGTTAAAGATGTGTTTTTTAACATATTATCTCTTAACACTCCTTAAATATATACTATAATTCTCAATTAACTCGTATGAAAACTACCTTTCCGAGCTAACTTCGTGATGTAACATTGCCATCTTTCACAACCAATGGCGCGATATAACAATTACAATAATTGTACATTATTAAGAAATGGCCGAAATGTTCATTTATATACTTGTTAATATAAATGAGATAATTTATATTACATTTTTAATTACAATTGTTAATATCTACTTAGCTTAATCT